TTATTGTCTCTCAAACCACAATGCGTCTTTTTTATATATATATTCAGTGGATGTGAAATGTTTTGTTATTTACTGCTGAATCTGAGATAAGTATTTACACCCTGACCTAAAACCGATTGCAGAAGTCTGAGAAGATGTTTGGAAAGTTTGGAGTCTCTGGTTTGAGTCTTGCCTAGAGAGCGGGTTCAGCTTTGCGTCAGTAAGTAACTTTTCACCAAATCTGACAAAAATCGCATGTGGAGTACCACAAGGCTCATTCCTGGACTCCCTCTAATTTAATATGTACATGCTCACATTAGCTCAAGTTATAACAAGTAATGAGATTAGCTACCACAGCGACGCAGATGATGCACAATGAACCCATATAGACTTTGAGTAGATGCTTAGAACAGATAAATGTGTGGATGTTACATAACAGAAACTGAAGTTTTGGACCTAAAGAGGAACGATCTAGAGTCGACGCACAGCTTCAGTTATTGCAGCTGGAAACTGGAAATCTGGGAGTAGAGATGAACTCTGACCTGAACCTTCAGAGCCACATCAAGACGGTTACAAAGTCGGCCTTCTATCACCTGAAGAACATTTACAGGATTAAAGGATAAAATATGCCAAGAAGTTCTAGAGAAACTGATCCATGTATTTATCTTTAGTCGTATTGATTACTGCAGCAGCGTCTTTCTCGCAAATAAACCTGAAATGACTGAAAAGTTGCTGGAGCCAGTCACAAATGATTTGTAAATTAGTAATTTAAACAAACAAACCAAAACATTTAATAGGTTACTGTGTCCTTCTGGAGCACATTTTTAGTTTCGTAGTGACTGTAGTGAGTTTATTTGGTTTGTTTGGGGATCGTTGACCCAGTGAGTGTAAAAGTTTCGGGCGTCTTGTGTTTTTTCTTTTTGGTAGATGTATAACTTCACCAGCTTTGCTGTGACGCTGAACGAGCTGGAGCCCGGCATGGAGAGGCTGCTGCCACCAACGGACTGCCGGCTGAGGCCCGACATTAGAGCCATGGAACATGGAGACATGGGTAAGTAGACAAAACAAAAACATTTTGATGTTTTATTAATTTGCTTTATTACTCTTGATTCTTCTGCTTTCGTCAGACTTAGCCAGTGCAGAGAAGGAGCGATTAGAGGAAAAACAGAGGGCTGCACGCAGAGAACAATCAGAGGGTGAAGAGGAGTGGTCGACCAGGTCAGAGCTAACAGCTGCCAGTCTTCTTTAGTCTGATACCCCTAAATAAAATCCAGTGCAACCAGTCGCCTTCCTACATGACCTTATTCTTAAGTCTGTTCCTCGGGTTGTAACATGGGAAATAATTTCACTGGAACATTTTCATCAATACTGACGTAAAACAAACTCCTATATCTTGCTGAAAAGTTACTTGTAAATTAGTTTTCTTATTCCAAGTGTAATAAAAGATTTGCACATTTTACACAGTATCCATACAATTAAATTTGAATTATTTAAGAAATTGTTAAAAAACCATTTATTGGTACCACTTTCCTTTTCACTGACACTGAAATTGTTTCATGTCGTAAATGTGGGTGTTGCTGTTTGACCTCTGATGACCTCAGGAAACTTTTTATTAATATCTTTAAAGTGATAGCAGCACAAACAAAAACTTCCATTTTGTTAGAGCTTCACTCAGTTCTTATGTTTCAGTTAAAACGTTCGCTGATGTCTGTAGAGTCATTATTAATTAAAAAGATCAAAGGTAAATTGTTTTGTATCTCCAGGAACTTTTGATTTCTCTCTAAAAGCAGGTTTCGTCTGTTTCCCTTCAGGTGGTTCCGGATGGTAACAAACCCTTTCACCGGAGCCGAGGACTGGCAGTACACAGGCGGATACTTTGACAGGAAGTACACGGACTGTCCCAACATTTACTGACACAAAAAAAGAGAAAGAAACTCTCTGTGTTTCTGGAAAATGTTCACTTTATTTCTCTGCATCTCAAATCTCTGCGACTTGAAAACCGGGCAGGTTACTCAGACCGGCACTGTATCTCTGTTAGAGCAAACCGTTAAGAGACTGTGAACGTGCTCTGTGGGAGAGCTTTAGAGAAATGTTGACGTCAGACATCTTCATCATTATTTACCCTAAATGCTCGTCATTTAAGGGTTTTAATCCAGCCACCGGTGGGAGCTCTGCAAACACAAACGAGCTGCAGAAGCGTTTTAGTTCACTTCATGTTGCATTTAAATATCAGGGATTATTTAAACACATCCGCTTCTTTTATATAACCGACTCTGAAATTAGATGTCTATTTTATTCAGCACCATGTATCTTTAAAATGTCACAAGTGTTTCTGTGAATAGAGATTAAAAAAAAAACAAGCTGCTTTTAACCATGTTTACGTTTATCGTAAGCGGATATTGTTGGTACAAATATATAGTTGTGTTTAGAGAACAAAAAATATAAAAATACAATGGTGCTTGCATGTTCACCAAGATGCTAATAGACAAGTTAGAGCCATAAAATAATGATTTCCTGCACTGAGTATAGAAACATTTATGGACAAACTCTCTGAGTTTGACACTGTGGCTGTCTTTCACCTTTATGCTCTGAAAAACACAACAGAAACAAAGTGTCAGAAATCCAGTTAAGAAAACTAAATGATTATTAAGCTTCTTCTCCTTTTTCTAAACCTTTAAACGTGGAGCTGTGGAGCCCCCTAGAGGACAAATTAAAAAAACTATTTTGCGTTCTCTAGCGATAAATTAGCAAATGCACCCGGGTCTATTTTTTATACAAAAACATTCTTAGATCTTTGGTGCAAAAAAAACACATTGAAAATGAATCTAGTGCTGTGTGTTTGTTTGTTTTGTAAACCAATCAGACTACCAGTATGAAAAACACAATCAAAACATTCAGATGACTGTGAAAATAACTCAAAAATAGTCAAAATAGTTTAGATGTATTTTTCTTTCCTCCTTAGAGAAAGTTTCTGTTTATTTCTTAGAAGGGATGGAAAACCCATGTTTGACCTGCTTTGCTTTCTTACAGCAGAAAATATTTCAGTATTCAAGTGTGTACATTATTTCAAAGGGAAAAAAATCCCGCTTGTCGCTTACGGGGCTCCGTACGGAGCAGAATGTTGGCATGGATGTGTTTTTTTTTGTGTGTGTGTGGAAAATTTAAGCTAATTTGCACCTTTAAAATGATGCCAAACTGTCTCTTAGTTGAAACTCAACAAAAGCGTCAAGAGAAAAGGGAAATGTTGCTTTGAGAGCGTCTGTGCGCTCTGGATAAATGCTGGGTTTCAAAAGGAGAGGCGCAGCCCTGCATGACAGAGAAAGCTTTAAGTTTCCGTGCGGAAGCCTGCGCTTCGTTTTCAGCCTCGCCTCGTGACCCCGGTTCGCTGCAGACGCCGTGTACCTATGAACACCGACCCATCCTCTCCGCCCTCCTGAAATGTGAACCCTCAAACTCTGATTTCCCCTTCAGATGCGCCGAGTGCTGAAAGTAAAACACTAAATAAGTAGATGCTGCAGCAGATTTTTGTTGCTGTTGAGCATATAAGCTGCACATTTGAGAGCTCACAGTCCTATGCACTTATATGTACAGTGAGAGTTTTCCCTTTACTCTGATTTTTAAAGCACTTTCGAAGCCTGCAGGTTCAATCTGATGGATATTTTCATCCTTTTACCCCCATGTCTCTTTACTTTGTTGATAATGTTTACACTGTTCGTTCTTTTCCTCCTCTCTTCGTACTGTTACCCAAAACCATATGCATACAAGCATATTTAAATAATAAATTATGGACTACAAAATGAGCTGCTTCGTTGTGGTTTTTAAGCGTTCATGGTGTTCAGTCAGAAAATGAATAAGAATAAAATAGGTGTTTCAGTTAGAAAATGGGTTGTTTTCTCTTTACTTTTGTTTTAAAATATTTTCTTGTATATAGCTTTTTATTTTTTTATTACTATATGATGCTGAATAGATTTTTCATTTTATGGAAATTAAATTGGGTGCAGCCTAAACTGGATAGAATTAAACAGTTTTTTAAAATCTTAAATACAAAATGTATAATTTTTTTATACAGTTTTGGCTTAATTGAAGTTGGAGTGTGTTGTTTCACCAAAATGGCTTTTTTACAGCAGACATACTCCAGTTAATGATTAATCAGTTACTAAATTAGTTTATTTCTAAAATTTTTTGATTTAGAATAAATATATTTTTACTTTGTAAGTATTAGATTCTTTAGCTTGTGTTATGTTGTGTATATTTTGTATTTATTATTTTCCATATACTTAAAGTATAAAGTAAAAAATACATAGACATAAAAAACTCTTATTTTAAATAAGGAATAATAAAAAGTGACAAGTTTTGGTGCATTTTCCCCAGCTTTTTAAAGTCTAAATGTAATGTTGCTTTATCTGTCTTTTTGTTAGCTTTAATTGTATTTATTGTATTTAACAACAACAACAACAAAAAAATCAAAACATTTTTGGTTATGTTTTTAGCCTTTTTATCAAATTTATTACACTATAAAGAAATCACTTCCATATAATTCAATTTAAAAAAATCAATATTGATAATGACAATACTTTTTGATAATATTTTTACATTATAGTCAAAGTTTAATATGATTTGTAAAATTTGTTTATTCACTAATTTGTCTAAAGTATTTTTCACAATTAGGGAAAATAAGAAATTAATTTGGAAAACAATCTGCATCTTAGTGCATTTTTAGCCTGGTTTAACCTCGGAGTAATGTATTGGTTACATTTATTTTCATTCAGCTGCTGATATAAAACACGCATCAAACTAATTAGGTAGTAAAAATAAAATGATTGCATACATTTATATTAACCGTATTATATCTTTTAGTTTGACGCGTTTAGTGTTAGTCTAATTTAATTATATTACACTGCCAGCGGTATAATAAATATAAATTTGATTTACTTCTGTGTCTTCTAGTTTGACGTGTCAACCTAACTCTGTTATCTCTACCGAACATGCGCAGCAGGTTTAAACGCCCTCACGTTGACGCTCGGTTGAGCCAATCAGAACGAAGCTCCGCTGCTGGTCAGCCAATCACAACAGGCGTCGCAGACTTTTGCGGTTTTGCAGCTGAAGGATAATTCCGACAGAAATGTGAGTATAAATGGTGTTTTTATCCGGGTTTCTGGTCTAAATTACGGCTCTGGCTGCATGGTAAGTCGGTGGGGGTGAAATGTGAAGCCGCAGCCGAGCGGTGACGGCTCGGAGCTGGAAACAGACCTCTGTGTGCAGGATGCAGAGTCATGTCTGTCTGCGGCAGGACTCCGCTCCAGTTCATCTGTGTTTATGGGAGAACTGGGACAAGTCTGCTTCCAGCTGGATTCACACTCTCATATATCAGTTTCCACAGAATAGTTCGACCAAGATAAAATGTGTTTTTTATTGTAGGCTGTGAAACAAAAGCACATGAGACTTTAAACATAAGTATTTTTAAATTTTTTAATATCAAACCTGTTTTCATTCTTAATCTTCCAGCTTGAATCTCATTCAGAGGACTTGATCTTAGTATGTTGCATGCAAAATTCATTTACTGCGTTGATAAGCTTATCGCGCTCATCCCCGGCTTCAGCGCCACTCGATACGTCCATGTTGATGCCTTATGTCACCTGCGAAAACTTCACCCCGCTGCCCCTGCTGTCCTTTATAACTTAAATCATAACTACAAAGAAAAAAAGTAACTTCCCGGATTCGTTTGCCAAACAACGCCAAATGTTACGACCACTTATAGTGCAATAAAAACAACCAATATAAAAGGGACAATATTTATTATTACAAAATAAGAGGATGTGTATTTGCAAAAAAACAATAGGTAAACAAAAATAAATGAAAAAACAATGGAAAAAGAAAATCAAACTAAAAGAACAGCAGGGTGCAGCGACAACTGCAAAAAACAAGAAACACAAATTACCAAATGCCTATTAAATCTTTGCAATAAAACCATTCAATTCAATCCAGTTAAAAAATATACAAAGCCTACCTGCAGCGTCGACCAACCACACGCCCAGGTAGGAATCGTCAGCTCAAAACATGAAGTGTGGCCCTATATAAAAACATCACACAAACACTGACTGAATATAATCAGATTAAGAGTTTTTCTTTACAACAAAAAAACTGACAAACCTGATCGCAACAGTGGGACTTGTGGGCCAACACACCTGGTCAAACACAGAGGAGATTGACAATTGCCCACCAGCCTGACAGCTTCCCTTTTATGGGAGCTCAAAATGTGGAGGAAGCGACCCCTGGTGGTTCCACCCGTTACATATAATTGAAAGGTTAAGATATTTGACTAATATTGTCAAATATCAAACCAATAAGTAAAAATAATGCTTTGAAGCTTTGTTGCAGAATTTCTGTGGAGCTAAATTGGGGCCATTAAAATGTGTTTATAATCAACATTTTTGAAACAGAAAAAAGTGTAAACTAAAAAATATTGAAACTGAAGAAATCTGTTTCAGAACTTTAAGAATTAAAACATTTGAATTAAAAAAATTAACTTAAAACTACTTGAAACTGAGAATTTAAAAAAGTTAAACTACCTTTGAGATTCAAAGTTTGTTTTTTATTTCAGTTTCAAAATTATTTTTAACAAATTTTATGACCCCAGATTGTCTCTTTATATTTCTTCTTCAATCCTTTCAGTTTAATGGGTTCAAGTTTCACATTGAGGAGTAACAATACTGGAAAAAACACTTAAAAGACCAGAAATTCACAAAATAAATCTGTAGATAATAGGATATTTGCTCTGGTTAAATATCCATCCACAGACTGGAGAAATTTAAACTTGCACCAGTTATTTTATAAGTTTGTTTCATGTAACGGCATATTAGGACCATTTTACAAAGAAAACAGAGGAGTAAGTTTTAGCCAAAATTTGGGGATTTTTTTTTTCTTGTTGTTGGCCAAAAAAAAATCACATTTTGGTGATTGTTTTAAAAAAAATCTAGAAAAAAAAACAAGGAAATTTCTGAGCTTGAAAAGTAGAAGGTTGGTTTTAAATAACTCAGATTAATCTCAGAATTTTTTTAGTAAAGAGAACAAGAAAATTTCCTAGTTTGAAAAGTTGAAAATGTTCGACTTTTTGAAATGTTCTTGGCTTTTCTTTTTCATTTTATTTTATTTTATTTTTAGAATATTTACAACTTTTGAAACTCAGAAATTTACTTTTTCCCCCCTCAAATTTCTGAGATTAATCTCAACATTTCTGAGTTTTTTCCTAGCAAATTTTTGACTTTTCAAAGTCAAAAGTTTTTGTCTTTTCTATAAATTTTTTGTGATTTATAGGTAGAAATGTACTCATTTTCTTCTAGCCACAATGGCCCCATAACACCATCGTAGTTTTATTAAACGACAACCCTGTATTTCAAGACGTCCATGTTCATGCTGAGTTCATGTAAACCTCTGAGCGGAGCCGTGGAGTTGAACCACCTTCCAGATGTTTGTGTCTCCCTTCCTGCAGCAAACCATCCTCCTCCTCATGGCGTCCGGCGCTCTGTTCCCCAGCCTGGTGTCCAGCTCCCGCGGCTCCTCCAGCAAATACCTGGTGGAGTTTCGGGCCGGTAAGATGACGATGAAGGGCAGCACGGTGACCCCCGACAAGCGTAAAGGTCAGGTCTACATCCAGCAGACGGATGACTCCCTCATCCACTTCTGCTGGAAGGATCGAACCACCGGGAATGTGGATGATGTAGGCAACAGAGTGGATTTTTAACCAAACTGACCTGCAGCTGGGTTTTCTAATATCACCTTGATTCCTCCATTTAGGACCTGATTATCTTCCCTGATGACTGTGAGTTTAAACGGGTCAACCAGTGCACCACCGGACGGGTTTATGTGCTGAAGTTTAAAGCCGGCTCTAAGAGACTCTTCTTCTGGATGCAGGTTTGAAGCCAAAACACATCAAAATCTGTCGACTTCATCACTAATTTCCTCTTGGAACATTTTTGGCAACAATCGTCCTCCACAGGCTGTCTGGAGGCTGTTTCATGCTATTTGGCACTTCCACTAAAAGTGGAGCTAATTTTTTGAATAGCAAAAACGATTAATCGCAAAAACCATGATTAACCGATTATTGAAATAATCACCAACTAATTGAGTAATCAATTAATTGTTAACTTGAGTATACAGACTTAAAAAACAACATATATAGAGCAGTAATTGAGCCAAAACTTGTAAATATGTTTTAGTCAAATCTCCTCTAGAGGAGAGTTTTACCCGGCTCAGATTTACTAAATGAATGCTGTTATTGCTTTTTCAGCAATAAAAATGTTATTTTCATATTTAAAAAAATAAATTGAATTATTTGTTTATTTGAATCTTTTTATGTATTTCTAGTATTGTATAAAAAAGCTTAATTGATTAAATGAAAGATCTGCAGATTGTGTTTTTTTCTTTCCAATTAATCAATAAAATAATAGATATAAGGATGGATTAATCAGATGTGCATCACACTTTTCAGATATTTTTCTGTTGAAAAATTGAAGATGGTCATTCTTCCACTCAATTATTATCCACTTTGCATAGGTTTGTCAAATCCAAATCAGATGCATTGAAATTCAAAAGCTGTGAATACTTTTATTCACTTTTATTATGACAGCAATGAAAGTTACTTCAAACTTATAGAGTGTTAGTTATTATTTTCTGTTTTCAGGAACCGAAAAACGATAAGGATGACGAGTACTGCCGCAAAGTGAATGAGTACCTGAACAACCCGCCCATCCCAGGCGCTCTGGGCAGCGGCGGCAGTGGAGGTCACGACCTTTCTGCGTTGGGAGGTAGAATAGCCAATAATTAAACTTTATGATGATAAACCCTCAGTTCTGTATGACAGTTATTGCTTCTTCTCTTTCTCTAAAGGTGAGGGTGGTCTGCAGAGCCTTCTGGGTAACATGAGTCACAACCAGCTCATGCAGCTCATCGGACCAACTGGACTGGGGGGGATCGGTACGTGAAAGCAACAGTGTGGAGATAATGTGTTGTAAACGATAAATTTATAATTAATTGTCATTTAATTGTTTATTAGATTAAATTACTAATGAAGTCCGCATAGACCGTCTTTTAGTGTTGTAGTTTGGCCGCCATCCAGCAGAGGGCACCGCTGGTCACCCGTAAGCGGAGCCGTTGAAGCAGATTAAAAATGGCGGCGGCGCCATTCTGTAAAGGGAAAGAGAAACGGTCCAAACTGAACCCGGTGTGAGAGGAAAAATACACATTATGCGGCTCTGTTTTGAAATATAAACATTCGACAAATTCATTAAGTCATCACCTTTAATAGCGCTCATTTAGCCAAGCTGTCTGTCGGAACCCCGTCGACTTTATCAGTACAAAATTACCGATTTGCAACGAAGGCGAGGAGGTGATGACAGAAAAGGTGAAGAAAAATGGAAACATGGTGGGGGGAAAATCCTCTCCATGAAGTTATTTCACTTCATGGGGCGAAGTTTGAACTTTCTTTAAAGAGCAACAACAGACGGTGATTCTGAATGGACACCTTGTCCTTCTTTTTATTTTTTTCTACTCCAATGTGAGAAAAGTACAATATCCTGTTTCTTCAGTTTGATATTTAATACAAAACATTGACAAAACAATGTTAAAAAAATAAAAAACAAATATATATATATATATATATATATATATATATATATATATATATATATATATATATATAAAATTCAGCATATTATGAAAAATGTAGCACTTTGTGTTATGGAAAGATGGCCGGTCCTCTTGATACAAGAGAAAGCTCAGGTTTTTAAGAAAATGGCTGCTCATTTGATCAAGTTTAGATGAATTAATTGTTAACTTTCAGCTGCGATGTGTGTTTCTCCTGATGCCAGGCGGTCTGGGGGCTCTGGCTGGGCCGGGCTTGGCCAACCTCCTGGGCAGCAGCAGCAGCAGCAGCAGCGTTCCTGCAGTCAGCAACTCCACCACCAGGTGCCTCAGTGTGTTTTCATTATAGAAGCAGCTTCAACTGGAGGCTGACTCTCATCTGATTCCTGTTTTCCAGTCCGTCCACCGCCGTCACGCCCACCTCCACCTCCACCGCCAGCCGGCTGGGCTCCACCCAGGTGCCCACCACTCCCATCACCCCCCTGGCCACGTCTTCACCCTCCCCCACAGCCTCCACCCTCTCCATCCCTGCTGCGACCGCCGCTGCAGCCGCAGCCAATCCCACCCAGCCCATCCAGCTGAGAGACCTGCAGAGCATCCTGGCCACCATGAACGTCCCAGCCAGCAGCCAGGGAGGTGAGGAGGGGAACATCCATCCATCCATCCATCCAATTATCTGATCATCCATCCATCCATCTATTTGATCATCCATCCATCCATCTGATTACCTCATCATCATCCATCCATCCATCCATCCATCCATCCATCCATCCATCCATCCATCCATCCATCCGATTACCCTGTCCGTCCGTCCATCCATCCATCCATCCATCCATCCATCCATCCATCCATCCATCTATCTATTTGACCATCCATCCATCCATCTGATTACCTCATCATCATCCATCCGATTACCCTGTCCATCCATCCATCCATCCATCCATCCATCCATCCATCCATCCATCCATCCATCCATCCATCCATCCATCCAATTATCTGATCATCCATCCAGGTTTTTTTTTTCCATTTAAAAATTTACCTTAGGGTAAATATCTTGTGTAACTTGGTATTGAACCTTTTGATTTATACTTTAATAATTGACCAGAAAGAAGTGATTAAAAATTAGATTTTCAACCATCCAATCAGAAAAATGCCTCATTAATAGTTTCTAAAACATCAAACTGTGTAAAACCCAAACAGCTGCTGCGTCTCACCGCAGCGCTCAGCGGCAAAAGCCTGACGTTTCTCAGATTTTTATTAAATTGGTTGATAAAAGCTTTTAATCATCAGAATGTCCGTTTGTTTACGACGGCGTTTTGTGGTGAATTTGTAGTCAGAAAGGGAAAAAGCATTTCAAAAAGGTTTCGCTGTACAAAAAGATAAAAACCAGTGTTGGTGTGTTTGCTTCTTGCAGTGGACCTGGCCAGTGTGTTGACCCCTGAGGTCATGGCTCCCATCCTGGCCAACCCGGAGGTGCATCAGAGGCTGATGCCCTACCTGCCGTCCGGCGAGTCGCTGCCGCAGAGCTCAGAGGAGCTGCACAACACGCTCAGCTCGCCTCAGTTCCAGCAGGTGCAAACCTCGTCCTGCGGCCAGGAATCAAAACCCCGAGCTCGGCTCGCTTTTGTTCACCTCTAATATTTGTGCTTGGTTTTTGTGTCTCTGTTCAGGCTATGAGCATGTTCAGCAGCGCTCTGGCGTCCGGCCAGCTGGGGCCTCTGATGAACCAGTTTGGTCTCCCAGCAGAGGCTGTGGATGCCGCCAATAAAGGAGGTCAGTCTCTAAACCAGAGGTGTCCAAACCTTTTAATGTTCTCCAAAATCATCAGCTTGAAAGCGGGTCAAAGGAAAGTTATTTTTAAAAACTAAAATCACCAACAATAAACTAAACATTTTAACTTTGTTAATCTTATTATTTCAAGCAAGTTTTTAAAAACAAAACGCATAACACTTTATTTGAATGAACATGACAAATAACCAAGAATAAGATAATTAGCTTACCTCTACTTTTTGGTTTGAAAAGAAGTAGGAAGAACTTAGCACTAAACTAATCATCATAAAACACTTTCTACATTTAGCCAAGTTTTAATACAGCAAATAAAAGCAGATTTAGGTGTAATTTAGATGAGGTCCTTGTTACCATGACAATGGAAGGAAACCAAAAACAATAATCACTTTGTGATCATTTTTGTCAATGGATTTTAATTTAAAACTTGTGGTTTTGTCCTGATTTATTCTTGAATTGTGGTCAGAGGGGCCGCAAATGGCCCCCGGCCCCCAGTTTGAACACCCCTGCTCAAAACGTAATACAGTGAATCATGGCTTCAAATGTTTTTATGTTTCCAATTAAATTAAAAAAGATTAAACTGTAATTTTTACCCCAGAATAAAAGGATTACCATCTGTACTTTTTTGAAAACTGAGATTTTACATTAAAACATTAATTTAACATTTCCCTAACCTGAATAATCTGTGGAATCTCTACAATATTTATAGTACTAACTTACTTTGTTTGGTCTTCATTTATTTTTATGCTACACTAGCACCACCTGCTGGTAGGTGCTGAAGCATCAACAGTGACGGTGCACTTTGCTCATTTATAGAGACTCATATAGTCTTATTAAACAAATTAGATTATACTTTCAGATCAGGATTGTTTCAGATTAAAAGTTCTTTTTAAAATAATTACTTTCATTTAAAATAATTGAATAAGGTAATTTATAATAAGGTGTAAAATACTTTATTATCCCAAACGGATTGCTGTGGATGGTGATGCTGCTGGCAGGAAGAAGCTCCACTAGCAGTCAGTGTTTTGCAACAAATCAGAAGAGGCCTCTGATTGAAGACAGTTGTTTTATGACATGATGTGCTAACGGCTCATTTTCTGGGCAGCAGAGACGATATTCCACAGTAACATGTCGTCGTTGGAAAGTGCTGCTAATCCATCTCATTTGCTTTTGCCGCTCCTCTTTAAATTTCTGTCTGGACGAACCGTGAGAAAGACGCTAGAGTCTGGGATGTGACTCGTACTCGTTATGGCTGATAGAAGAGATTGTTTCGATTTACTCGTTTTTCCTTTATTTCTTGCTCAGTGTTTTAACCTCGTATTCAAAGATGTTTTATTTAAATTAATACTATTTGCTCACGTTTCCTTGTAGATGTGGAGGCTTTTGCCAAAGCCATGGAGACGGAGACGAAGTCAGACCAGGAGAGCGACTCCAAAGACAAGAAGGACGACGACGAAGACATGAGTTTGGACTAAATGCTCCTTAAACAAAGCTAACACTATTATTTATAACTATTTATTTACCAGTTGCTGCTTAGTTTCTGTTACTTAAAGATCAGGGGCCTCATGCATAAAGCGCTTGTGCGTGCAAAAAATGTGCACCGTCATATTTTACGCACAAGTCGGCATGCATAAAAATTAACTTTTTGTCAGAGTTTGCGTAAATATATGCACACTTTTTCGCTGGCGTGAAAAAGTGCGGCAGCCACGCAAATTTTTTCTGTGGACAATATCAAACTTACAAAGCATCAAAACTCACCTAAAGGCACTGAAATCTGACGACATTGTTATTTAGACCAAGAAGCACCAAAACCGATGTTATTTCATGATTTTAATATTTTATTGTTTAAATGTAAACGATGAAACTGAACCGCATTTATCCTCGGACAATATAACACGCACACTCAATGAAGAAAATAAAAATAGAAGGATGTGAAAACTTCACTCGAATGTAAATAGTAGTTTTCCTCAGTTTTTGTCTCATAAAGATGTAACGTGTCGGTCTGAGCCGAAGCGCATGGAAAGCATCTATGGGGTAATTTAATTCTGACTGGAAAATGAAATGGGTTGGATCAGCAGATTAACTCAAACCTGCTGATTAAAAACAATCAACAGGTTTGATTATTTTTAAGGTGTGTATCATCACACATGTTCAGGTAGCGGTGAGCTGCGCGAAGGTGGAGCGTTTGGCTCGGGTGGAGAACATCGCCAAGGGTTCAGAGGGAGCGATTGGTCATATTGATCTGCTGGGAAATGTTGTTGGTTTATGAGCCTTTAGATTAATCCAGACTGATCATCCTGGATCTCTGAGCAGAACTTAAAGAGCCGTACGGTACCGGTACCGGTCCAGCTGCAGACATCCTTCAGCTGAGCCGCCCGCTTTGTGAATGCGCCTTTCTGGACAGAAAGCATCTTTATTCTGTAAATGTACAACTTCTGCACATGATTCCACTATTTAGAATAAACGTCCACTTTCCTCTCCGACGCGCTCTGCCCATTTATTTTTTATTTGGATTTTTTTTCCCTCTTTAAAATTTTTTATTTTTGTGTGGAGACCTTATGTGTCCCGAAAGCACCTTTTAAATAAAATATATAATTATAAATACTTATACTGCTACAAACAAGGACGTTGCCATGGTTACTGCCTCACATGGTGGCAGACTTCCAGGTATTTATACTAATTTGTATTTATGGGCGGACCAGCAGCTGTGCTCAATTTCCCGCAGATTGGGATGCACAAAGAAAAGGTGTGCGGCCACCACATGCGTGCGCACGGCTTTATGCATCCGAATTTTTTCGTGTGCCGCACTTTTCTAAGTTTTTCCGCACGCCAAGTTTTAGTGTGAAAACTGTGCAGGCTTTATGCATGAGGCCCCTGCTGTGGTAACTGTTGCTCCAGTCCCACTGATCCCATCTGTAGACATGACTCCATGTCTGTCTCACTGTGTTAACGTGTCCTTATCCCAGGAGAGTCTAAATTAAAACTTTGTTTGATGCATTAATGACTCACATCATTTTGCAACAGATTGGGTGAAGCTCGTCTTAAATTGGATTAAAAATCCATGAATTATCTGCTTACCTGAGATTAGGTGGTGGTGGCAGCAGCTCCAGGAGGGAAAACCAGACATTTGATATTTAATTTTATGTAAAGGGGAAGTATGTGTTCTCCAGGCACATAGTGACATTTTATAGTACAATCAAATAACGTTATTACCTTCAGTTGTTATAAAAATGCTACATATTTCAAGTATGACTTAAAAGAAATTTGACTTTGTAATTTAACTCCTTGAAATTGGGCCTCTGTCTCTTTAAAAACTCCCGTTTCTGCCTTCAGGAAGTCATCAAAACATGGCTCTTTTATTAACCCTTTAACATTTTTACCAGCGTTTCACTGAGAAGTAGCCCCTGTAATGAGCTCAGCTGATGCGCAGCTCCACCAGGTGCTTGCTAATTGCTGCTGGCTAGTCTGAAGGAGTTTTGTGGAAGAGCTGAATGGTTACCATGGAGATTTTCTCTTTACTGCATCTGACTGACTCGTGTCTAAATTAGGTCATGATTATCTGGAGACGCAACATTTGAGCGACGCTGTGGGACAAAATAAAAACAGACTAGAACCATCATGTTTGGATAGTTTTACTGATACTGTGGTTTTTCAGGCACTTTTTCACCAAATTCACACAAATGCTAAAATCTGAGGAGATACTGCTGCTGGGCACAACATTAAAAATCCACCCATGTGCACTGAAATCTACAATCAGGTGTTTTCCATTAACCTCCAATGGAACAACTTCTTTGGGTTGGATTTTAGGAGCTACTGAAATGAATTTAAATTCCTGAGAACTGAAAGACTAAAACGAAACAAATCCCTGCAGAATTACATCAAACAGTATAAACTACACAGACGTTTGTCTAAATGTGGTATTACAGCACATGAGGACACCACCACCAGAGTCAGAGCTGCCACAATAACATCCTGTGTTCAGTACAAATATGAGACAATGAAACAAGTTGATTAAATGAAATTAAAGGTCACTTCTCAGCCTACTGAGTTCTGTTCTCACAGCTAAAAATGCTTCACAGTGTCAGAAACCCAACTAGAAAATATGTCGTTTGCAGTTTAAATACAACAGCCTGTAGAATAAAAATCCACAAAGCTACATCTCTGTTTTTGTCTCTAAAAACACACAAATCACAGCCACTACTACGTGTAAATACAAGTTAAGAACATCATGGTGTTTTAAAAAAGATGCATCACAAGAAGCCTAAAGTAAAGCACATTTAATGTGCTGAATGAACATCTCTAACATAGAGCTCATGACTGAATCTTCACGTACAGACAGACATTCGAGATGCTCACGACCTACATACAGTGTTTGACAAAGAATGTAAACGATTCCCCCCCTCTTCACATTTAAAATAAATAGAAAGAATAATTTATTTCAACAGCACAGCTAATAAAAGATGATGGGTCCCGTCTAACCCTGCTGCACCAGGCGGCGGTAGTGCGGCATGACCTTGCTCTCTGGGAGGTACAGGCCCATCTCCAGCGCCACCAGAACCGGGAACTCCAGAGCAATCAGCTCCCGCCGGTTGATCCGGAAACGCTCCTCCAGCTTCTGCTCAAAACGCAGAGGAAAAGTTTCAGGTACCGAGAACACGACCCTGGTGGACTAATCCAGTCAAACCAAAGTGTTTTAAAAAGCACACACTTCCATGTGAGTTATAGAGAGTTATTGATTTAGAAAGGAGGAAGAGGAACAGAGTAAAAGAAAACAGAACAGACAGAGAATGAAAGCATAAAAGACAGAAGAGAAAGAGACAGAAAAATATCTGAGAAAGGAAGTAATAGAAAAATAGAGATGAAAAGAGAACAAAAAGATAGTAAAAGGGAAAAGAGAAAAATGGAAAAGAGACTGAAAAAGTAATCTTCAGAGTGTTTTAAAGGTTAAAATAAATACAAAAGCCTTTTTTAAAATACAGACTTTAAAGTTTTAAAACCTTTAACAATCTTAATTTGTATATTTTTAAAAACTGCATCTCTTTTCCTTCCCTCATAAAATCCTAATTAAACGTATTAAAGTTTGTTTCTGCGATGGAAAGGGGGGTGTACATACTTTTTAACAATCACTGCATTTGATGTTGAATTTCAGGACTTTGTCGTTCGGCCGATCAAACATAATAAATCGTTTCATTCAACAAACGGCATGCCGGGACTTTGAACCCCGTCGCCGTGGTTACCGAGACAACGTAGCCTCCGTCTCTGTTTGTTTGAGTTGCAGCTTTCATTCTCCTGCAGCAGCCGTTGCCATGGAAACTACAGGTGCAGCAGCCTAAACCAATCGGCAGTGGAGACCCTGGGAGAGTTTTGAAGCTCAGTTTGAGGAAAAACGCGTCAGAAGTGGAGATCATTAGATGATCTGCAGAGGGAACCCTGCTGCGTCCGACAGGCTGCAGAAAACACCCGACTGGGTGGAGTACATAAACTGATATAAAAACAAAGTTAACGCTATGATTTTAATGACTCGGGCTGTTATTTTTATAGGGTTAAACATAAGTTCAGTGTTTTGCTGCAAATTTGCTTTTAATTAACTAAGATGACTCAGTTACTGATGTGTAAAGAAACATTTAAAGCCTCTATTCCACATTTTATTTGCATTCAGAAATCTGATTTTTGTTCATTCTCAGAGACAAACATATCTGTTAAAGTAAAGGCAACAGATAGTTTCCACTGTTTCTGTTTTATGAGCTGATCGTCTGTGCTGCAGTTTTTAATTAGAAACAACTAATCAGATTAATTGCGATGAACTGATTAATCGATAACTAAATAAGTGAACGATTATTTCAACAATCAATAACTGGAGTAGACACTCTAAAATATGCCATTTGCTGAAAGAACATATTCAGAGCTGTAATTAAGACAAAACTGTGCAAAAGATGTAAAAAAAACATTCCTTTATCTTTAAATATGTTCCACCTAAAACTCCTAAAGTGGCATATTTTCAGCTTCACCTGGTACCGATTCTGTAAAAACAAAACATAAATCTTCTATTAAGCACTAAAGCAACAGATTAGCAATTCACTGAATTGATGTTAAGTCAAGCAGGAAGGCCTGAGCTTCTCAAATGTTGATGTTAGAAGTGGTTATTTTAGCTGCATTCGAATCCTTTGCTGCAAATTATCAAGCGTTCACCAAAGGAATGATATGATACAGTATTTCAGACAACAAGATGTTTATTTTCTTATTTAAAAATGAGCTAAATGGTTTGTTTATTTGCATCCTTTAATATTTCTATAATACTGTATAAAAAACTGAAGTGGTAAAAGAAAAATCTGTAGAAAGTGTTTTTATGCAATTGTCGATAATTGATACAATAATCAATTACTAAAATAATTGTTAGTTGCAGACCTGTTTTCAATTATGAGGCAAGTTGTTTTGTGAGCAATCCAGCTTAAAAAAACGAAACCAAGCTGCAGCTCCTCCTCAGAGTCATGATGATGACTGAACACATATTTCTGCCTGTTGCTGCACCAAAACATTTTGAGAAAGTTGCGAGGATTTTTGTTAAAAAGAGCCAGATTTTTTTGAACTACAAGGTTGCTGAT